CTGCTTAGTCCTCTTTACCAATATTTAATTTTATGATCTTCTTATAGGTGACTGGATGGATGAATTACCCCCTACCAAACATCCAACTATGAATTTCAACCACAGCTAACGCCACAGTGCAATTAGTTTGTTTCATCCCTTAAATGCTGGTGACCCTGATTTTAATGAAGTAGTCTTTAAAGGTATTTTTGACCCACACTGGCTGCTATATTGACCTGCATTTCCATAATGGGCAGATGCCACATTCAGGTTGTACAAATTCAGACTTTGATGTGAATTTAGTGGTGCAACCCAAAAATATTACGACATCTCTACAAGTATTTTCCATCAGTTATTTAAGAAGGTGAAGATTTGATATGTTCTTATTCATTACAGGGAAAGTGGAATATTCGAGGCTTTTTTTTTTGTTTGTTTGTTTTTTCGCTCATGAAAATTTGAAATCCAGTATCTCAAAATATTAGAATATTCCCAAAGGTCAATCACAGAAAGGATTTACAATGCAGAAATGTCAAACTTCTGACTGGCCGGCCAATCGAGCATAGAAATATCATGGTCAGCAAACCATTTGGTAGTAGTTTTAGCTCTAGGCAGGTGTGCTCAGTCCTGCTGAAAAAGAAAATCAGAAACTCAATAAATCTTGTCAGCAGATGGAAGAATGAGATGCTCTAAAATCTCCTAGATAGCAGCGTTGACTTTGGACTTGATAAAACTCAGTGGACTAAAACAAGCGGATGACACGACACATCAAATCATTACAGACTGAGGAAAACTTCACACGCCTCGGATTCTGAGCCTGATTTCCAAATGAAATGCAAAATTTATTTTCATCCGCAGAAGAGGACTGACTGCCGCACCAGCAACCATCTAACCGTGAATGTCAGTAACCCCAGTAACCATTTTTGGTTGAAACACTTCACACTCATGTTGCACATACAAAGCCATGTGACACAATTTAGCATTTAAAACAACAAACTTCTAGTTTATTTAGCCTTTGTTGAAGTACCTCAGTTCTATTTGCAGAGCGCACATTTAGCTAGCTTCTGTATGTTCAGCATTGTGTTTGTTTATTAAGTCGTATTAATCTTTTAGCGGTGCTGGGGTATCCAGTCTTCTGGTCCTGTGGTCATCTGGCAGGTTTCAGGAGAGAACCAGGCTTTTATACCAGAGCTGCCAATCAGACCGCACCAAGTGCTGCCACTTGAAGGGGTGGACCAGGTTTG